TGCTGGCCTGGGAAGCGGCATTGCTGCAGGAGGGTGGCTGGTGCTGACACAAGCCCTGGCAGTGCAGCGCCTGCCCACGGGCTTCCTGTGCGAGTCCCTGCCAAGGGGTAAGAGCACAGGCAGGTACAGACAGGGGTTTCTCTCCAGCCTGCCTGAACAGTGACTTGACCTACTTTTGAGGGGCCTGAACACAGCTGGACCTAAAGCCTCTCGCAGGGTGGCTGCAGGGTGGGAAGCAGGAGGGTAGGATGTAGACACCTTCTTTCCCCAAGGGGCTCAGACCTCCGTAGCCCCCACGAGCTGCCCAGCAGCCCCCAAGCTCTGGTCACAGCAGGGATTTCTGGTGCCGAGAGCTCTGCACCGCCTGCGCTGCTGACAGACATTTCACACTGCTGACATTCGGACACGCATGGCCGGAGGACTGACTCTCTCCTCATGACCTGCTTCATTTACTGCCCTTTGAGGCTCATGCTGGAACGTGAGTTGCAGATGAAGAGAACCTGAGTTCAGGTCCCTCCAGGGGGCACAAGGAGCTGCCAGGGTGGCGGGAGACAGTCGTATTTGTGGGAAGAGGGGCTGCAGCACTTGCCATGAGGCTGGGAGGATGCTGGGCTCGACTGAGCTCTGCCCAGCTCTGCCCAGCTACCTCAGCTCTTGGTGCCTCCCCTTCTGTGGGTGCACAGCAGTGCTGACAGCACAGAGGGTGCTGCCCCCCATCTTTGGTCAGGACAGCTGTGTACAGCTCAGTTTGCTCTCTCAGCCCCGGCCAGACCCTGCTGCAGCAGCCAGGATTTCTCCTTTCCACTGCCATCACCTGCCTGTTCCTCCCCTGCCTGCCGGGGCTATTTGCATCTGTGTGGGCACACCTCATACTGCTCTGTGAGCTAAATCTGGTAACATGGAAACAGTCGGCAGAACAATCTGCTCCACACACGTGGCTGTTGTGCTTTTGGTGTCTGGGATGAGGGCTGGGGGACAAGCCACCTGTCCCCTCTCTGTGCAATTCCCATGCCTGGAGGAGCTGCCCTGGCAGCTCTGGTCTGTCTCCATGCTGCCCCAGCCAGATGCTTGGTGGAGGCAAGCTGGGAATATCATTTGGGCAGGGCTGAAGCCAGTCCAGGATCAGGCTAGGGGTCTCCAAGAAAGTGGATGCTTCAGGGACTTCCAGCTGAATCACTTCCCCCTCGGCGTGGGCAAAAGCTGGGAGACGCTCCTCCTTCTGACAGCATAGACCCACGCTCGCAGCCCTGATGCCATAGGGTAGCTGTGAGCGGTGGCACACCACCGTGCCCCATTTCCCTGTGGATAAGCTCTCCCCTAAGTGCCCAGCACCCCCCGTGGTCCCCGAAGGCAGTGGATGGTGTGGCATGGGGTGCTTTCACAAGGCATATTGGGTTCAGCTTGTGGGTTGACCCATGCTGGTGTGAATGAGCCAACTTGGAGAGAGCAGCACCCTGGGCTGGACCACTGCTCTCTCTAAATCGGCTCATTCGCATGAGCTGCTGCTTCTGTGGCAAGTGCTTGCTCGGGGAAGTGGGTGCATGGGGTGCACTGAAGAGCCTGCATCAGGACAAACCCCTGCAAAATGCACCTCCTCTCCAGGGCCAGAAGGGGAAAAACCCATCAAGGGAGAAGCAGGGAAACCGTGGAGGATGTTTGTCACGGTGAGAGATGTCGTCACCAGCCAAAGGCTTATAGGGGCCCCGGTGAGAGCAGGAACTGCTGTCACAGCAGGGGAAGGAGCAGAGGAGAGGTGCTGAGAGAGGTAGGTAACTCTGGGGTGGCTTTTCTTCTTGCTATGAGTCACTGGAATGTTTTTGTCAAGGGGGTGAGTGTTGAGGGGAAAGAGGGAGCAGGGGGTACTGAGGCCAGCTAGCTCAGGTTTGGACCATGGCTGGTGGGAAAAGCTGGGCTGGGGCTGGGTGGGGGGAGCTGCGGGCTCAGCAGAAGGAGCCCAGGACAGGCAGGGGGCATCTGCCACAAACATGGGCTCAAGCATGGCTGGAGTTGCACACAGGTGTGGGGACTGTGGCACAGCTGTGCACACTCAGGCAAACTGTCACAGCCCTGTAGTAGTCACAAGCATGCAGACGCACACAAAGCATGTGTATCGCTCTACCGACTCCCACTTGCACATGAAGGTCACACTGCCATGCAATTGTACATACATGCACATACCCACACAGAGCTGTACATACATGCACGCACCCCTGCATGACACACACGCAGCTCTCTATATGCTTGTATCGATAGTCAGGCTGTGCACACACACACGGGGAGCAGTGCCTGCACTTGCAGGGACCTCTTACCCGCAGGTAAGAGGCACTGTGGTGGGTGCATACGCAGGCACACACAGATGCCACAAGGATCCAGCCTGAAGCAATCAGGTGCCTGGTGGCATCACCCCCATGCAGCAAGCCAGAACTGTGAATTTGAGGCATTCAACCCATGGTGTTTTTAAAGCACCGTGTGTCGCAAGCAGCAAATCCAGCTAGCTCTGCTGCCTCCATCCTAAAGCACCTGAGGCTGGCTCTGCCCTGCAGTCCATGCTGGGGATGTAAGAAGGGAGAAGTCTGTTAGAGAAGTTGTGGCAGGTGGGAAGGAAGTTGGAGGTTTTTGCAGCTATGGGTCACTCGACATCATAGAAAGCAGGAAGAGGAGTAAAAGGTGAGGGGCTGGAAGGAACCAGGCCTCCTATCCCTGTCCAGGGGAAATGGGAGCTTGTGGGCACACGAAGTGCTTCTAGGGTCAGTCCCCAGCAGGGCTGGGCAGAGCCGGGCTGCAATGCCTCCAACCCTGACGTGGGCTTGCTCCCTGCTCCTTGCTGGTGGAGGAGCCCTACAGCCTTGCACCACAGACAGAAAAGCGGCTATGGGTAAAGTCATGAGAAGAGGGCTGAGGCCAAAACCACGCAGGCACACACACGTACGCAGCGCCCAGAGTCAGAGCTCCAGCCTAGCCACCTGAACCGGCAGCGCAAGTGCACCCCCCTGCACCATCACTGCTGGCCAAGAGCTGCAGCCCTGGTCCCACTGTCCTGCACCTTGCAAGTGCTGGGATCACTGGGGGAGAAGGGATGGGCATGAGGGAGAGCTGGGTAGGAGGGAAGAGTTTGGTGGAGGGGGGCCTTGCTCCTGAGGCAAGCCTGGGTATCTGACGTGAGAGCAGCAGAATGGCAACGAAGGAACAGCCGGATGTGGGTTTGATTTCCCAGCCTCAGAGGGGACGGTAAGGAGCTCTGACAGACCTCAGCAGTGTCCCTCAACAACACCAAGATATCTATATGTATCATGCTGCATGTGGTCTGAATTCATGTTTGCTGTACCCATTTGGTTGCTCATGTACAATCAAAAATGTGTTTTTCCCCTGCTGAGGAACCCCAGATTTTGCTATTTAGTAGGGTGTGCTTACCTAGCACACAGCAACCGACTTCCACCACTCCAGTCTCACATCCTTTCTTATCAGAGGGTAACACGGAACAGCACGAGGGAAGCCAGGAGAAAAGACGGTTACCACATCTGGGACAGCAGAGTGCTGCCGGCTGCCCAGCCCAGCCTGTGGCAGGAGCGTGGTGGCCTGTTTTCTCACCAGTGTTAAATGGGCAGATTCTCTGTGGAGGTTTTCCTGCAGGCCTGAGCCCAATGGGAGATTCTCAGGCAGTGCCAAAAAGCCAGCATGTGAACCTGGCAGACTCATGCTCCTAAGTCCCCATTCCGGTTTTCCATCTGCTATGCAAGCTGGTGGCCTTCACATAACAGTTTGGGGGACCACAAAGTTGTGTTTGCAGTGACCTGGGGCACCAGGGAACCACAGAGGTACCGCAGGGGTCTTCAATACCTACAAGTAACAGTGCCTGCATGGAGCCAGCTCATGCAGATGTCCGCTCCAATACCTCCTGCATTTTTCTTTCCAGATCCATGGCCCTAACAATGGACTCCCCGACCACCCCGTTTTCTGCCAGCCAGCTCACAGAGCACAGACTCAGCAATTCCTGTTGTCAGATCCAAGACGAGTTCCTCTCTGTGACACTCCCTGTGATTTACTCCCACATCTTCATCATTGGGCTGCTCAGCAACGCCCTGGCACTCTGGGTGTTCTTGTGTGGCGTGCAGCGCAGGACCTCCATCACCGTGTACATGAGGAACCTGGCGCTCTCTGACCTGCTGCTCTCCCTCTGCCTGCCCTTCCGCATCGCCTTTCAAAGCAAAAGCGAGCCTCTGATCTTCTGCAACATCGTCGGGGCCTTCTTCTACCTCAACATGTATGTCAGCATCACATTCCTCAGCCTGATCAGCCTTGATCGCTACCTGAAGATCATCCGGCCCCTGCAGAAATTTAGGATTCACACTGTATCCTGTAGCACCATGGCCTCTGGGGTGGTTTGGTTGGTGCACACAGCGTTCATGCTGCCTTTCTTTTTTGAGACAGGAGGAAAAGGGCCCTGTGACCATAAATGCTTCCACTTCAGGAGCAAAAGCACCACAGCAGCAGCTTTTAACATGGTCGCAGTAGCCACTTTCTTCATCCTGCTGCTGCTCTTCCTCTACTTCTACAGCAAGATATTTGCCAAGCTCCATAGAGTCTCCTCAGTGAAAGCTCAGCAGCTGAAGAGGACCAGCATGAGAGCCATCACCAAGACCTTCATAGTCCTGGTCATCTTCATTGTATGCTTCACCCCCTATCACGTTGTCCGCATTCCTTACATCCTTGCACAAGTGGGGGCCATTTCTAGTCTGCCCTGGAAGCAGGGTCTCCACCTCGCTAATGAGCTTGTGCTCTGTATCTCAGCCCTCAACAGCTGCCTTGACCCAGTCATCTTCTTCTTCTTGTCCAGCAGCTTCCGGAGGGCTGTGCTCTGCACCATCCAGGGCAGGCTGAAGAGACCTCTCCTAAGGAACTAGGAGGGGCTGAGCCACAGCAGGCCTGTGACAGAGATATAGGCTTTCCAGTGGGGCCAAGGTCTCAGGCATGACACCTTCTCATCAAGGATTTGCTCTGACTGCTGGTATTTACCAGACAAGACTTGCTGGGAAGATGGAGAAAGAAACTGGAACCACTTCATGTTTCTTCCACTGACATCACCAGGGCTAGAGCTTCCTTGGGAGGGTAAATGAAGAGGAAAGGATAACTGGGACCTTACTTTTTCCTGCACTAGCTCTGCTGACACAGCTGAAGAATTCATTTCCCAGGAAGAATGAAGGCTGGAAGCATCAAAGGAGAAACAGACTTGGCCTAGGGTCTCCACCCAGCCTGGGGAAGAGCAGGTACAGAGCCCAGGACTGAGACAGGCTCTTTCAATCGGAGGAAGAGGAGCAATGGGAGGAATGGGAATGGGAATCTGTTGTGAATGTTTTCTAAGTGCCACACCATCTCCACACCAGAGAAAGCAGGAAAAGGGAGGTGATGAGTGCAGAAGCATTGGGAAAAGAAGAGGGAGACACCCATCAGAGCATTGCTTGGGCAGTGGGTGAACATTTTGCTCCATGATGGAGCCCAGAAATGTGCACTGCGGGGCTTGGAGGACAGGCATGCCAGGAAACATTGCAAACCTGTAACCGCAAACCAGGACAATGGTAACTTTTCCTCTCTTGTTGTTACCGCAGTCTTTGTAACTCCAGGTCAGCCTCACTTTTTCTGTGTATTCAAACAGACAGCTCTGGGCTTCCTTTAGCAATTTTCCCTTGCTCATTTCACTGGCGTGTTCACCCAGGACCAGCAGCTTTGCCTGGCCATTGCACAGCACTGTTTGGCACTTGGACCATGCCAAGAACGTCCAGCAAGGGGTCCAACAGCCAAAGGGAATGCACCACAGAAGTGCCTAGCAAGATTTTCTGCCTGCCTTATTCTTTGGTGTCCATTCTCTTCCTGCAGAAGAGAACATTCCCCTGTTCTTCTTCCATTTCATATGCTCATCTGTTTGCTTATTTTAGAAGACTGCAGACTTCGAGACACAGACTGAGCGTGTCACACATCAGGCAAACACAGCCTGGGCAATGAGGAGGAGGGAGGAATTTCATTCAGATTTTCATTCACACTAGAACTGTTCTAGTAACTGTTTAGCTCAAACACCTGAATAATACTTGGGAGAATAAAGTGTTTCACTAAAGACTGAATCCTCAGACCTTTCAAGTTAAGGTCTGAGCAACCCCAAATTCACTGTAGCTCTGTTGAAGGAGCGCCTTAAAAATCAGAGGACAAGACTCACTGTGCTCTTTCATCTCTGCTACTAAAAACATTAAGAGCAGGAGAGGGATATTTTTCTCTTTAATGGGGGTGGTGGGAAATACCGAAAGCCAAGCTCTTCCTGTGGAAAGCTGCAAATAAAGGTCACAGAACTGTTCTCATTTTCGAATTAGCGTTATAATGGTGTGTGGTTCAGAAGCCTCAGCATTGTGACACCAGAGCATGTGCACCCTATACAGCTGGTGGGAAGTCAAGTTTCCCCCCTTGTAAAGCGGAGTCCCTCAACACCTCCCTGCCTGTACAGCAGCAGAGGGGCTAGAAATCCTCACGACCCCACGCCTGGCCAGCACCCCGCACCCCGCTCCGCGGCAGAGGGCCATGCAGGACACACAGTACCAGTGCAGGTTTCCCTTTTGGGGGAAACAAGAGGGACAATGGTGCAGGTGATGGGACCCCAAGTGCAGGTGGGGGGCTAGCAGGCAGGAGGAAGCAGGAGGCTGGCAGGGAAGCGGAAGCAGCCCCCGGGCAGTAGCAGAAGCCACAGGGCGAAGGGGCTGATGCTCACTCCCGAGAGACAGGTGCCCCACGCCATGTCTTCTTTCTTCGATGGTGAAGGCAGCTCCTGCTGCTGCTCCCCCCCGGCCCCGAGGGACGCGGGCTGTGGCCATCTGCTTCCGGGAGCCAGGGGCACCTCCGAGCTCGGCTCCCCACAGCTCGGCACGTCCCGGGGTCACAGAGCTGGGCGCCGTCCCTGCAGCCCCGGGCGGTGTCTCTCGGGAGCGCGCCCGGAGGGGAGGGAACAGCGCGGGGCCGG